ATGGTGCAGACAATAAGGAATCGACCTGGAGTGCAGGAGAACTGGGTTTGATTTCTGGATTGGGAAGATCCCCTGAAGGATCACATGGCAACTCACTTCAGTATCCTGGCCTGGAGAATCCCCATGGACAGAGGAGCCTGGCAGGCTACAGTCAATGGGGTTGCCAAGAGTTGGACACAAATGAGCGACTAAACACAGCACAGCACAGAGCAGAGTCCTCCTGATGCCAGAAGACTCTTGGTTGAAGAGACGAGGTGGGTTCTTGCCTACCTAGTCCTCACCTGGCCCCTTGATGACAGAACAGAAACAAGACAACAGTCACTTTCCTTTTCACTAAAATGCCTCTGAGACTCTCCCAGACATTGGCCCGTTAGCTGTGATCATCTTTCGTCACTGTATATGTTTCGTGGGGCTGTCATAACAAAGTACCATAAGCTAGGAGTGTTGAAACAACAGAAATATAGTCTCTCTTGGTTTGAGATCAGGGTGTGGGCACGGTTGGTTCGTTCTCCTAGGTCCTGACAGGTACCTGTAACCTCTGGTGTTCCTCGCGTTGGGGATGAGTCCCTGTGATCTCTGCCCTTTACCTGTGCATGGCGTTCTTCTGTGTCTGAATCCAAATTCCCTTCTTTTCCTGAGGACATCCATCATTGGATGAGGGCCCACCCTACTCCAATATGACCTCATGATAATATGCACCTTAATCACATCTCTAAAGACTTATTTCCAAATAAGATCACAGTTACAGGCTCCAAGGATTAGGACTTGAACATATCTTTGGAGGAACACAATTTGGCCCACAGTAGGTCATGTATGGATGTGAGAGTTGGACAGTGAAGAAAGCTGAGCACTGAAGAACTGATGCTTTTGAACTGTGGTGTTGGAGAAGACTCTTGAGAGTCCCTTGGACTGCAAGGAGATCCAACCAGTCCATCCTCAAGATCAGTCCTGGGTGTTCACTGGAAGGGCTGATGTTGAAGCTGAAACTCCAATACTTCGGCTACCTCATGCGAAGAGTTGACTCACTGGAAAAGACCCAGATGCTGGGAGGAATTGGGGGCAGGAGGAGAAGGGGATGACAGAGGATGAGATGGCTGGATGGCATCATCGACTCTATGGACATGAATTTGAGTAAACACCAGGAGTTGGTGATGGACAGGGAGGCCTGGCGTGCTGCGATTCATGGGGTCACAAAGAGTCGGACACGACTGAGTGACTGAACTGAAATGAACTGAACTGAGTCACCATCAACTGGTCAATTAGATAACTCAGATAACCGAGTAGTCAGGAATAGACTATCCACCTGTGCAAGGAGTAACTGGAGCCTTCCTCCATTCTCCTTGTAGATTCTGAATGTGTAAGCTGTCAGTTCAGTTCAGTTGTTCAGTCCTGTCCGACTCTTTGCAACCCCATGGATTGCAACACATCAGGCTTCCCTGTCCATTATCAACTGCCGGAGTTCACTCAAACTCATGTCCACTGAGTCGGTGATGCCATCCAACCATCTCATCCCCTGTCGTCCCCTTCTCCTGCCTTCGCTCTTTCCTAGCATCAGGGTCTTTTCCAATGAGTTAGTTCTTCTCATCAGGTGGCCAAAGTACTGGAGTTTCAGCTTCAGGCCTCCTAAGCCATCAGGGTGACACCTAAGGACTGCTATCCTCACAGGGCCCCGCCGTTGCATTTAGCCTAGCATACTGGCCCTGCCTGCTCTGCTATTCAATAACCCTTTCTGTCCTGCCAGTTTCGAAATTGCATCTTGCAACTTTTTGGGAAGAAGGTGGATGACAGCTCTGAACTCTCCAGTGTTTCCAAAACAGAGGCGTCATCCGTCTCTTCGGTGTCACCTGCATGAGTCTCTGCCAGCCCCGAAAATGAAAACGCCTGCCTCCCACCCAAAAACGGAAAACAGAACCTGTCCCCACCTCCAGGGCTTTGGCCCCCATCCACCCCACCTCTGCACCCTTGCTTCTCCATCCCTGTGAAATAATCATAGTTTCTCTTTGCCAAAAACAACCATGTCACAGGGGCTGCCACTGCCATTTGGGGGCAACTGAGCCTCTGGGCATTGGGTCACTGGGTCATGGGACGGCACGCAGGGTAGAGAGGGGAGCAGTACTCCAGAGATGTCCATCTTTTATAAGCCTCCTGTCTGCAGGTGGGAAAGAGAAGCGTGAAGCAGGTGGGCATCACTGGGCTGCCAGGGATGGACAAGGAAAGGCAGAGCTGAGCAGTGGCCGTCTTGAGAGGTGGGAGGAACTAGCAAAGCCAGGCCCTTTAAGGCCCCTTGGGTGGAGGCCAAGAGGCCCTGGCAAACCGTCTCCACCTGAAGGGGACCCAAGCCTGCCAGTCTCAGGCAGGGATGGCGTGCCACTTCTGCCAGGCCAGGATGCTGAGCCCAAGGAGCAGGAGCACAGTGCAGGCGTGCAGGCGCAAGTGCAGCAGCAGCAGGGGGCAGGCACAAGTGCCGGACAGCAGGACCAGGAGCACTGTGGCCAGCGTCAGCAGCAGGCTCTTCAAGTGGCACAGGATGTCCTGGGGCCAGCTCTGCGGGTGCTCCATCAGCCCCAGCTGGGTCACCTGCTGCAGAGCCTCGAGCTTGCCCACGCGGTTCTTAAAGGTCTCCATGACCTCCTGCAGGAGGAAGACAGTGAAGCTGGGACCCCACGTCCCCGCTGCCCAGGGGCCCGAGAGTCGCAGATTGTGCCCGAGTTCCCAGATTGGCTAAGCTGGACCCGGCCCTGGGGGAGGACAGCGTGATCATAAAGACTGGGTACCTCAGGGGCACAGTGCCAGGCACGATCCCTTCCCTGGACTCCAGGGGTGTCAGAGCAGACTCCCTCATCTTCTGCTGGCCTGGTCCCTATCACCGCCTCCTTATCAGCCATTTCTCACAAAGGTCCCCCAGGGCTGCTCACCCAGATCTCCTTGGTTCTCTCATAGGACAGGTAGACCATTCTCTCCTCAGTGCAGGCCAGGTTCTGTTTGAGGTGGTAAATCTCATCCAGGTGCCCCTGCAGGTGCCCATTCACCTGTCCTTCCAGCAGCACTTGTCTTGGGAGCAAAAGAGACAGTGACAGACCCTGAGCGACCCTGCTCAAAGCTTGTGTGGGGCTGAGCGGTCCTCTGCTAACACTAGATGTGGCTTCAGAACACACCTTCCTCCTCTCTCCTCAAGCTGCAGTCGAACCCTGCCTCCTCCTCCAGGTCGGTCTCAGAACACCCCAGATGCACATCAGCCAGCCACACACACACACACACACACACACACACACACATACACACACACACACACACACACACACACACACCGATATTCATGAATCTTTTATATATATAGTCACTCTTTTGTAACGGTTTTACAAAAATAGCAATATATGAGAAGTAGAAATCAAGATCTAAACCTCCCATGTATGCCATTAAATTCAATATATATAACTCCAGTGTTTCGTGTGGAGTAGCTCTTCCCTAAAAATCATCTGTTGATTATCAGAATGGAACAGTCACAAAAATCCACATAACTGTTTAATTTCACGGATAGGAAATGTTTAGCATAAGCCAATCCATAAAGACAGAAGAAAATTTGTGGTTGCTGGAGGCTGGGGGAGAGAGGAGGTGGGGAGTAACTGCTAGCGGGGATGGAGTTTCTGCTGGGAGGGATGACAGGGTCCCGGACTGAGACAGTGTCCACTACAACACAGCCCTGTGAATACGATAAAAACACTGAATATGACAAAAACACTTTAAATGGGTGAATTGTATGGGATGTCAATTATATCTCAATAAAGCTGTTATTAAAACAGAAACCAAAATTGGATTGCGGTAATGGTTACACAGCTTGGTAAATTTACTAAAGCTCATTGAAACATACAGTTAAAATGGTACATTTTATGGCATGTAAGTAATATCTCAGTAGACCTAATAAAAAAACACAAAACATCACTACCTGTTGTTTACAGCCACATATTTAAGTAGAAAAAGTCTAAAAATATGTCTGGAAAAGCTAAGCACCTAACAAGGATAGCAAGGTAGGCAGAAGGGGGGAAGGTGAAGGGGAGCATTTCAAGCAACTCATCTTTTAAGCTTTTATTTCTTAAATAAAATTTGAATATGTTAAGATTTGAGAAAGCTGGGGGTGGGCAGATAACCTTGACCAAATTATTCTCTGCTTTCCCTGGGTTTGGAATATTTCATGATGTCAAAAAACACTTTGAGGTCCCTCATTTGGGCACCAACAAGGATGGGCCAGAAAGAAACAGGCCAGGCAGCTTCTAGCTTTTTAAGGAAAGCTGAGGAAGGCCTGACCAGAGCCAGGGTGACAATGCTGGATTCCAGTGGGGGCCTGGGGCCCTGCAGAGAAGCAGAGGCAGGTATAGGAACTGGGAAGTGAGCAGTTCAGTTAGGTCCTGTTCAGGGACTTGACTGGCACACTGTGGAGATGGTCCCCAGGCAACTGAGAAGCTGAAACACTCATTTATGGAAGCCAGTTCATCAAGAGTCAGTTCATGATGGTATTTCAAGGAACAGTCCATCAATCTCTGCCCTGTTCCCTGTTGAGAAGAAATTGGTCTGACAACCTGACTGAGACTACTGCCCACAGAGAAGGGGAGAGAGTGGGGTGTCCACCCTGAAAGCAGATTCCCCCGTGGCTGTCCTTCCATTCACATATAGGATGGAGCTGCAAGGACATTCAAGATGTCTACCATGTTCAAGTGTATATTCATGAATATGTTCTTCATGAAGATGAAATTAGCAAGCGGGTTCTTCATTAATATATTTCTAAGAACAAATGACAATACTCTTACACACATTCTTGAAAAGACTGTTGAATAAGACAATATGAATGTATAAGGCTGTTCCCTCCATCTCCCCTTATCAGTGAGGCCACAGCAGGGCCCTGGCTTGTGACACATCCCTCCCTTGGTCAAGGACTCTTCTCTGTCTGGCTCCTACAGCCACGGAGGTAGAAGCACCACCATGGAAAATGCTCTTATGAGGGCAAAATGATGGTTGGTCAACCAAAACACCCCTCAAATTCGTCCAAATCTGTTAAGGCCACCCTGTCTGATAAAAATGGCCTCAAACATCATTGCTGCTGCAGAAAATATAATCTTGTTCATAGCTGAGGATGGGCTTTGACAAACTGAGCTAGAACCTAACAGCCTGAAACACAGAGAAGTCTGAGATGGAGAGACTGAAGTGGGAAGGATGAAGCAGGCCAGATGCGGTAACCTGGTAGAGACAGAGCAACTCCTCTGAGCTCACATGGTATCACGCACATCCTTAGAAGTGGAGGCAGTGGCAACTGTCACACACAGAGGAAAAGGGCATGTGAAGACGGAGCAGAGGGAAGGGGAAGGTGCTGGCCTGGAAGACTGCAGTGCCAAGGCCACAAGCTAAGGAAGCAGCAGCCCCAGGAAGCTAGGAGAGGCTAGGAACAGATTCGCCCTTCCAGAAGGGACGTGGCCCCACCCACACGCTGACTTTGACTTCACCATGCTGACCTCCAGAACTGAGAGAATCCATCTCTGTTGTTTGAAGTCACTAAGTTTGGGATACTTTGTTAGGACGGCCAGATGAAAGCCCTCCAACTGCATCTAGTGGGGAGAGAACAGGGATGCAGCTAAACATGCCCACAATGCGTGGCACGGCCTCCTACAACAGAGAATCACCTGGTCAAAAATGCCAGTAGTGTTGAAGTTGAGAAAAAACTGCACTATGGTAACACCATCTAGAGTTCTCGGCCACTAGGTGACACCTGAGTTTAGGAGCCTGAAACTTCGAAGACTGACCATACCACCAAATATTGGCAAGACCGTGCAGCAACTCAAACTCTCACAGACTCCTAATGGGAATGTAAAATGGTACAACCATGCAGGAGACCTGGGTTGGGAAGGTTGATCCCTGGCTGGGAAGATCGTCTGGAGGAGGGCATGGCAATCCACTCCAGTATTCCTGCCTGGAGAATCTCATGGACAGAGGAGCCTTGGAGGGCTACAGTCCATGGGGTTGCCAAGGGTCGGACATGACTGAGTGACTAAGCACAGCACATGCTGGAAAAGTTGCTTTAGAGGTTATCTGGCAATTCCACATATAAAAGTATATGTTCATAAAAAGACACGCATAGTGTTCACAGTAGCTCTACTCCTCACAGCCCCAACTGGTAGCAAATGAATGGGTCAATGCACTGAGTTCACATCACAGAGCACTGCTGAACAAGAAGGAATGAGCCACTCTTGTGTGCAATGCAGATAAATCTCAAAATCATTACACTGCGTGAAAGAAGACACTAAGTTTGATATAACATATGCTTCCATTTACATGAAATGTACCAGAACAGACAAATCCAGAGAGATGGAAAACAGATTGGTGGTTACCAGGGGCTGAGAGAAGGCAAATGGGGAGTGGCAGTGTCTCTTTCCAGAGTGATGAAAACTTTGGGGAACTATTATTGATAGATGTACTTTTCATTGCACAATACCGTGAATGCACTGAATACCATTGTACACTTTGAAATCAGCAATTTTAGCCTTTCCAGCAGTGACAACCTCCCTATGAAAACTTGCCTCTCAAAAGGATTTCCCTCATCTCTCTCCAGAAGACAAAAGGAAACACAAGAAGAAGCATCTGGTTCAGAGCCCCCATTCCTATTTCATGGATGTGAAATGCCCAGGATGTTATAAAATCACCACTGTCTTTAGCCATGCACAAACAGTAGTTTTGTGTGTTGGCTGCTCTACTATCTTCCACCATCTTACAGGAGGAAAAGCAAGGCTTACAGAAGGCTGCTCATCCAGGCAGAAGCAGCACTAAAAGTAACCTATATCAAGAGGAATGTGAAACCATTCCAATAAACATGTATTAGATAAAAAATAAAATAAAATTAATAACTTTATGTTTTGTCAATTTTGTCTCAATTGAAAAATAAAATAGCCCTCTTGAAGGCAAATATATATATATATATATATATATATATATATATATAAAACCTGTGAGAAGTGTCACAGAACTCTCCAGTTTGAAACCTCAGTTTGTGACAAACCAGAGGAGATGTGACAATCGCAGGGGCCTGGGTAGTGACCAGTTGTGGACATAAGGTGGCACTTCATTGAGTTGAACATACGCCCTTGTGCCTGAGACTCTGTTTCCTCATCTGTAAATTCAGTGCTGAATGGTACAGCTGATCAATGCTACATGCTCCCTATTGTCACTGTAACCATGTTAAGTCTTCTTCAGCCCATTCACCATATCTCTCAAGAAATCTGAGTCTTATGGACCTGCTTTTTTGTTTCTAATATATATTAATCAAGGTAGGCTAACTGCTATAGCCAATGACCAGAACATCTTGGTGGCTGAAGATGATGCCAGTGTATTTCACAGTTCACTGGTGGTGGTGTTGGTGTGAGGAAGGTGCTGGCTTAGAAGTGCAACCTTGCACAATTCCCACAGAGTTTTGCGAGGAGGTAGTTTGCTCTGCTCCCCTGCACAGCTGGCAGACACTAATATGCTATGGGTTAAGAACGTTCTAGAGCACCACAGTCCCATTGGCCTAGGCAGTGTAGAAACATACAAGGAAATGCACAACTGTCCTGAGTTCTGGTCTTGCTTTACATAAATCCAACCTTGAAAAGAGAATTGGACCATAAAGAAGGCTGAGCACCGAAGAACTGATGCTTTCAAACTGTGGTGCTGGAGAAGACTCTTGAGAGTCCCTTGGACTGCAAGGAGATCCAACCAGTCCAACCTAAAGGAAATCAGTCCTGAATATTCACTGGAAGGACTGACGATGAAGCTGAAGCTCCAATACTTTGGCACCCTGATGTGAAGAATGGACTCATTGGAAAAGACCCTGATGCTGGGAAAGATTGAAGATAGTTAGATGACAGCACCAACTCGATGGACATGAGTTTGAGCAAGCTCCAGGAGATGCTGAAGGACAGGGAAGCCTGGCGTGCTGCAGTTCATGGGGTTGCAAAGAGTTGGACACAACAGCGATTGAACAACCACAACAACCTTGAAAAAGTCACCCCCAAAAGAAACCTGAATTGTGACTGACTGCCTTACTTGACAGCAGGTTGCCCCTTCATACTCCTTTAACTGCCCTTCAGGGATTGGTCCAGCAGTGTCAGTGCAGGTAGGATTTCCCTATGCAAACAGAAGATGACTGCAGGGCTCAGAGGAAGGAGCTTGGCACCTATGAGGGCGGCTGGCACCCCAAGAAGGGCTCAATAGAAATGCGGATGTCCTTGAGAGACTGAGTTTGCCTTTTTTTTTCCTACTGGTGGGCCCTAGTCTGGTCTTGAAAGTAAAAGTGAAATTTTCAAGTCGCTCAGTTGTATTGGACTCTGTGACCCCATGGACTGTAGCCCACCAGGTCATCTGTCCATGGGATTTCCCAGGCAAGAGTACTGGAGTGGGTTGTCATGCCCTTATCCAGGGGATCTTCCCAAACTCAGGGATCAAATCCAGGTCACCCACATTGCAGGCCGTTTTTTTTACTGTCTGAGGCACCAGGGAAGCCTCTTGGATGAAGATAAAATCAACCCACCACACCAGGGGCTCGGGGGGAGAGAAAGCATTCCCTGGAAGGCAGTCATTTTCAGAACATATCACCCACATGGGAGCTTCTGCCTCAACTTAGCCATGAGCCCAGGTGATGGGGTCAGGGCAGACGAGGCGATTCCACTCATGTATCATCTGCCGCTCTGAGAGGAACACCGATACCACCCCCACCCTCCCCAGAGCCCAGGTGGCCAGGAGCTCCGCCTCACCTGGACTTTTCCTCCTGAAGGGACTCCAGTGATGCCTGCAGGTTGGTCAGATACTGCTCCCTGAGGCTCTGGTAGGACCCCTGCAGGCTCAAGTGGACCATCTTCACTTCTCTCAGCTCTTCCTTCATCTTCTGCCCCAGCAGGGCTCGTGGCTGGGCCCCACACTTGTTCCCCAAGGACTTCTGCTGCTGGCAGGCTGGGAAGTGAGTCTGCAGAGGGACGTGTCTGATGACGGTGGACAGGTCGCTGGATGAGCAGTCTTCTCCACCTGGCCGGGGGGGCTCTGCACACAGAGCCTTCTCACGGGGCTGCTTGCAGTTGTTCTCCAGGCTGCTTTTGGTCCCCAGCACTAAGCCCTTGCGCCTGCAGCCCTCCTCTAGTTCCTGCAGCTGCTGGTGACACTGGCGGAGCCTTCGCTCGATCTGGGCGATGGTGGCAGAGGTTCGCTGGTTCACCTTCTCGAAGGCCTGCCGGATGTGGAAGGCCTGGTGCTGGTCGGCCTTGGATACCAGCTTGAGGTAGCACACTGTGTTCTCATTGCGGCTGGCCTTCTCCACCCTCAGCTGCTCTGAGAGGTAGAGGATACGGTGCTTGATGCTGTCCTGTACGTTTCGAGTCAGCTCCCCATCTGAAAGGATGGAGTGGCCACTGGGGCCATCCTCGCTGGATGACAGGGATCTGCAGGAGGGTATACCGGAGGAGAGGGTGGCAGTCGGGCCCTTGGTGTATTCTGTCTGCATTGGGAGATAAGAATCACAAAATGGGTACTTCCGTAAGAGGCAAACAATGGGAGAATTAGATTCATTATTGCTCCACCCTAAACAATACTTCCAGGTGTGAGCAGGTACTTACATGCCCTACATGCACTTCCATGCACATGCCTTCCATGTATTTACATGTGTGAGTACATGCGACACAGACTGGACATGCTTTATGGGCATCGCATACTTCACTGTGACCTCCAGGTGGCTAGCACAGCCTCCACACCTGTCCTGTCTGTTCCAGAACTTCTCTTCAAAGAATTACCAGCTGTGCATCTTACTTTATAGAGAACTGTTATTGTGAAGAATGGAATAAACTCATTTCCATAAACCCATACAGCTTGCTACATTGCTACTGCCAGGTGGATAGAAGGGAGAGGCAGGGAGATTTGCAGCCTAACAGGTTCATTCCTTCACCTAATCATTCAATGAACACATATTTCTGAGCCTGCCATGTGGGACAGAAGGCAGACATATTCCGTACTCTCATAGAGCTGACCATCCAGGGTGGACGGTTCTACTGTAACACAAAGGAGTCTCTTACATGGAAAGGGATAATAGTAAGCACACTGCCTTGGAGACGCCACTAACTCTGAGACCTTGAGCACTCACAGGATCAGATTTCTCACCTCTAAAATAAAGATGGCCAAAATAAATAAATAAAGCTGGCCATAGCAGCATAACTGGAACACAGGAGATAAGGGCAGAGTGGACAGTGATGAGCTAGAAGTAGGTGGAATCAGGACAGGTGGAGCCTCTGTTCTGTTCCTACTTTTTAACTAAAAACACGTTCATGACTGTGTTTGATCTGAAAGTGCTCTCCTGGTGGAGAGCCAGGAGTGATTATACTGTAATAGATATTTTGGTACTGTGTATTTTATTCTATGCAAATTATACCTTAATCTAAAAAATAAATGTGATACCACTAGGCACCGAGCAGAGTGGCAAAATTTAGACTAACAATAATAAATCTCAGACAGGATATGAAACAACAGGAACCCTCCATCACTCCTGGTGGGAGAGTAATTGATATAAAACTTTGTGGAATGCATTTGGTAATATCATGAAGCTGAAGACATGCATGCTGAATGGCCCAGGTACCCTGGTGGCTCAGATGGTAAAGAATCTGCCTGCAATACAGGAGACCCAGGTTCGATCCTTGGGTGGGAAAGATCCCTTGGAGAAGGGAATGACAACTCACTCCAGCATTCCTGCCTGGACAATTCCATTGACAGAGGAGCCTGGCAAGCTACAGTCCATGGGACCACCACAAACAGTCAGACACGACTGAGAGACTAACACACTAATGCTGAATGGCCTGGCAATTACATACCTAGATATACCCTTGAGAGGCAGGTACAATAATACTCCCAATAATCAACTGCTAGAAACAACCCACCTGGTCTATATATCAAAGAATATGTAAGTGAACTGTAATATATTCAGTAATATACTACAGCACTGGAGCTTCGCAGGTGGCACTAGTGGTAAAGAGCCCACGTACTACCGCCAGAGGTCAGGGGTGGCGGCTGAGAGGAGCAACCCCACGTCCAAGGAACGGTGGCTGCATGGGCACAGGAGGGCTGAGAGGAGCTACTCCACGTTCAAGGTCAGGAGGGGTGGCCATGAGGAGATACCCCTCATCCAAGGTAAGGAGCAGCAACTGCGCTTTGCTGGTGCAGCCGTGAAGAGATACCCCACGTCCAAGGTAAGAGAAACACAAGTAAGATGGTAGGTTGTTGCCAGAGGACATCAGAGGGCAGACAAACTGAAACCATAATCACAGAAAACTAGCCAATCTGATCACACGGACCACAGCCTTGTCTAACTCAATGAAACTAAGCCATGCCATGTGGGGCCACCCAGGACGGATGGGTCATGGTGGAGAGCTCTGACAGAATGTGGTCCACTGGAGAAGGGAATGGCAAAC